AACCATTATGATCTCTTAATCCTAAACATTTGGTCTTGTTATTCCTTCTCAAATCATTTAGTCAATCCGCTGCAAATTAAATATTAATGAAAGTCAACGTGGTGATGAGCGGTTGAGGAACCGATCGCAATTGCATTTAAATTTGGAGGTGGTGATGAGTGTGTTTGAAGTTTCGATTTTTTTACCAGATTCAGGCAATGGCAATGGCAGTGTTGATTTAGGTTCTTCAATTGACTTTAGTTGTCGTGATGGAGAAACCGGCGTTGAGGGAGGTGATCAGAAAAGAATTTCCTTAAAGGATTTAGACGACGGAAGTGGTGGCGTTGATGGCGGGAAAAATGGAGGTTTGGCTTCTGTTGATAGTGGTGGAAGAAGGGGGTGCCTTAGATCAGCGGATTTTGACACTGACGGAGTTAATTCTTGCAAAGAAGGCCGTGACCGGAGCATAGTTTCACCAATAGATTTGGGCGGTATAAGCGGTGGAAGCGGTTGGGATTAGGATTTTTTCGGTAGCATTTAGTGGTGGAGACAATTGATTTTTGGTTTCTGATGGTGGTAATGGCGGCTGAGATTCATTGGATTTTATCAGTGATGGTGGTGAGAGACCGAATCAACATCTGCTGTAGTTTTGATTTGTAACGTTGACGTTCATTAACCTTTAATTTGCAAGGTCAACGACAATTTCGGGATTAAATCTATAACCACATTAATTGAGGAATAAATTTATAATATTGAAATACTTGGGGAATTAAATGATCATTTTCTCTTCTGAGATAGTGTAACGTTCGTGAACCAAAAATGTGATTTTTAGGGTGTGCGTCGTTCGACGCAGTGTGTGTGCATCGATCGACACAGTGTGTTGACTTGTGTGAAGTCGTGATTTCGGGTGTTGCGTCGATCGACACAAGCTAAAATTGAACCGGGTTGGTTCGATTTTTAATCGTTCGGGTTGGCGTTCGGTTAGCGAAGCCTTAGGGTTCGAATATATAAGTCGAGGTCTGCGTATTGGGTCGCGTTTTTGAGAAGTTTGGTGATAAAACAGAAAGTTTAGGGATTTTGTGAGGATTGAGTGAAGAATAGGAATCATTGTTGATCTCCTTTTGTTCTTAATCCTAAAATCTCGTTAGTGTGAGTGTGAGGTTTGAGGATTGAGTTTCGGTACTAGTTTTCGCGAAGGAGGATTGGATTTCTGGATTTGGGAGATCTGTTCTTCGTGTTCTTCGAGCGTTCTTCGTCGATTTCATATCCTTTTCTATATGAAATCGAGGTGAGTGCGTGACTATGGCTTATCTGGGTAAAGGGGTTGGTAGA